TTTCATTAGAACATATGCAATTAAATATTTTAAAATTGATATCTCTTAAAAGCTAAAAATATATATGAATCAATAAAGATACAAAGTATGTTTTCATTGCATATATTAAATAGTGCAATACATGCATCACTAATTTTATAATGGGAAATCATATTACTACGTAAGATTTCATATGATCCTGTAACTTTACATAGGATTTCACTATAATGTTTCATAAATCTTATGATATTGTAACCTTACGTAAAATTTCAACTGTAATAATACGTAAAAAATACAACCTGTAACCCTATGTAAGATTTTACCGTAATGTTTCGTAAATCTTACAAACTAGTAAACTCGCATAGTTTTACAATGTAATACTTCAAAATATTACAAAAACATAAATCTATGAAATATTACACTGCATTTAAGTTCCAGATGTTATTATTCTTTATAATCTTGACATCCTGGTACTTGCGGATATTTTCTATAGTATTGTAATATACTGATACATTCATAAGTTTGAAAAAATCATTCAGGAATATATTTCCAGTTTTTTTAGCCTCATCAGTATTAAAAGATATATATGGTTCAAGCCAGTTAGTCTGGTCAAATGTGAGTATCTCTAAAACTTCATCTACAATCATACCTAATTTTAAATAATATTAAAGCTCTTGATAATGAATAACATAGTTCTTTCGTGATCCAAGATAGAGAAGCGTTTACTATCTAATTGTTCTATAAGTTTAACATTATAAGAATATAACCAATCCTTTTCTACAGCAACATTTTCCACGGCTGGAGGTAAATCTGACAAATAGTCATGGGTTTTAAGGGAAAATGTGAATTAACTTCTACATAACATCTTTGAGACGCATTTGCTGGAATCTGAAGAATTCTATTAAGATACATTTTTTGCTTATCTGGATTTTTAAGTAAATATTCCCGACTAGCTCCCCATTGATAATTTCCAATAGAAAAGTATTGGCTCATAGAATAACCATAAAGATTAGTTGCATTTACATATAAAATATATGTAGTTGGCTGAGATAGGTCATAGGCTTCTTCTATCTTGAGATTATTAGCCTTAGAATATCGCTGACAGGCCATAAATATATCATCTCGCTTTATTTTTCTATGAAATTATGCATGATCATATATGTGAAAAGTTCGATCCTAACTTCTGTTATCTTTTAAGTTAAGCATCCCAGAATAGTGATAGGGTAGAAACATAGTGACTAAGATCAAGCTTATAATATTTTATAGACATTTTTCGAAACTCTATCTAGACATCTACAAGACTAAGTACATCTGTTTTAAGATAGATATCATAGTAATCACCTAGATTCTTACAATTGAATTTCTCCCATACTTTTTAGCATGTTGGTAATCTGCTTGAGTAATCTTACCTTTAAGAGTACTATGAAATTCTTCTAATAGAGAAAGCTCTGTCTTCTGAAACCTATCATAAGAATCAATATAATCATAGGGATAAACCTCTTTGCGAAATACTAAGGCTAATTGCTTTTCTGTACAACTTAATTTTTTGAAATATTAGCTTGTTATTTGGTGGTTATTACCCAAATTTTTTGTAAGACTGGCCAAGCTACTATTTATGAACTGCATACTATCGATATATTTAAGCTGACCTGACTTATATCACTCAAATGCTTCAACTATAACTTGGATATGAAGAGCATTAGCCAATCGCCTAACAGATTCACAAACTAAGTGAAAGTCATAACCTCAGAAGTTGTAGAAGATAACTGGAATTAGGATCTTTCAATCCTATATTTGGAGTTTGAGATTACAATTCCTATGGGCTGATTCACAAAACTTATCTGTGATATGACAGTGATCCCAGACCTTATTGTCTTTAGCTTTTTCACTAGCAATTGCTTTAGTCACTTTATCAATGGTTATTTCGAAACTATTATATTCAGCTGAATCCTTTTTAAACTTTCTAGCTTCTCTTTAAGACTGGTTATTTTGTTCTCTAGACACATAATTTCATCTATATCTATATTAAACTTACCTTTATAGATCCAACAGTTAACTGCCTCTGCAAAATTTTTCTTGTTTTCTTCAGTCTCAATTCGCTCATGTTTGATGACTAAAACCTCATTGATTTTAACTAGCTCCTGATCGATTTTTTAAATGAATTCCTGTGTGATATTTTCTTCTCTATATAGGAATAGACCCCATATATCTACAGTATCGATCCATTAGACTAGATAGCAGAAACTATTAGCCTTCTGTTCGACAAGCTTGCATATACTTCCATCATATGCTTCATTACAATTCTTGTTGCCAGTCTTGAAATCGGCTATAATAACATATGAAGCATAATCATTTGACCATAATTCTTAAACTTCTTGAAATCATTGACCTCTTTCACTAGCATTGCAACTCTTTGAGAAGCATTTTCATGTATTCCTGAACACTATTCTAAATGATGTTCTAGAGACTTTTTAGAAGGCCAGCTTATAATGCATCTATCACATAGATATTTTTGGCTTTATGTACATTATCACAATATATTAATCTACTGGTATTCTTAATCAAGAGAAAATAATTCTTTTGCCTATACTTACCTTCTTCTGATTTAATAATATTTGTGAGAGCTAATAGCTAAATTTTATGTTTTCTTTTAAAGTTTTTACTAGCTATCACTGGTTTTGGAGTAGCTGTTTCTTCATTTTATTCCTAAACATTAATAGAGATATCTGGATTCATTTTCTTAATCTTATTAAATATACGTGGATAAATGGGAGTAAGCATTGGAATTCCATCTAGCTTGTCAATATCTAAGTAGTATTTAAGTTTATTAGCTTTAAAAATTCGTTTGAGATGATCTGTATGTCCATGCTGATGAGCGAAGTAGATACTTACTACATCTTTAAGATAGTTTTCAGAAGGTATATTTGTTTTTAAATCTATAAGCACCTAATTATCTGGATCAATAAAACTAGTATTCCTCAAAATCGAATCGAATCAAATATTTAAGCAATTTGTATTTGATTTGATTTTTTCAAATCGAATCGAATCGAATCGAATTAAACTCAAATATTTGATCGAATCAATTTGAATCAATTTGAATTTGATCAAATTGAATCAAATTGAATCAAATATTTGT